CTGGGCTGCCTTGCCAGTGCTGGTGGGGGTGGGGCTTTTGTTTTGCTCCTCTGGTAGTTCTTTGATTAGCATCTGTTTGCTGCTTGATTGCATGCCTGGTGGTAACCTTTGCTTATCTGGGTGATGATTGCTGGTGATTGATTGCCACTTGTTGAGATGGGTGGCTATAGAAATCAAACAAACAAACAAGCAAACAAACAAGATTTCTTGCTTAAAATTTAAAACTCAACAGAAAAAAATAATAGGGCTTGCTCAAAAATCAATATCATAGAAAAGGTAAAGGAATTTAGTTATTTTATTTCTCTTAGCATATCCTTCTGGAACAATGTAAAACAATGTCTTTGTACCATCAGACATCTGTGGTGAGAGGGTAATTCCATGGTAGAACATGTAGTTGGCAAAAAGGTCCAATCTTCCCTGTTTCCAAGTAGATCTGGAAAAGTTTGCCAGTCGCACTAATCAAAACTTTTCCCAGTCACAGTAAACAAAACTGGATAGAGCAAGAGCCTCATCGGATAGAAAGCAGTCTTCCCAAACTAAAGTAACAGTTACGAGATTAGTTCAGATCAGTTACGTGATCTGAATTCTAGAAAGTAAACAAATCTTTAAAAATTAATCAATGAACAATTAAGATTTTTTCAGTTGTCATTTATTGTGGAAAACCAGACTCACTGATATGGAATCTTTGGTGTTTCCTTAAGTTTGGTATCAGGAGAGAAGAATTTATCTGGAACAGGTTCTCCTTGAATTGCAGCAGGCTTCCACGTTCAAAGTAGATTGTGAATGACATGTGTAAGAAGAAATGCTGGTATTCTGATGACATTTTAGTCTATGCCCACTATTAGGCGCAGGCTAACAGGTAGCATAATAGCATATCTAGTTGGACATCCAAGAGACCAAGAGATTATCAGACAGCCAAAGCAATTGTTTTATGAATGAAATGTTTGGTTTAAACATCTAGAATACTCTGCTGTCACAGGCTTACTTGCCAGGAGCTGTGTTTAAAATTCATCTGTTTCTAGAGTATCTGAAACAAAGGTTTGGCATAACTGTGGTGTGTGGGACTGTAATACCTTAGAAGTCTAAAGCTTCTAATTGCCAAATTAATCTGAATGTGCGAATTGTTTTGAAGCGAATGGCTGCACAAAAAGTTGTTTGAGTAATGCATTCACTTTTTAACATTCTTTTCTTTTAATCAGGGAAGTGTTATCTCTTCATTATTTCCCATAATAGGATTCCCCAAAGTCTCTGAAACAAAAAGTATCACATTAGAGAGTCCAGCTGAACTTGAACTGATGTGTAGTTTGGTTATCAGCAACGCCACAAACATGGAAAAAATGGAGACCATTTGGAAGTCAGGAAATGTAACTATCAAAACGGAGACCATCAGGAGGAATGAAACTCAAACCAAATGGTGCACTCGAAATACGTGAGTGGCTTTTGTGTGATGTGCTGGCATTGTTTAAAGCAGAGAGGAGCAATCTTTTAGTAGCTGAGGGTCACACTAGGCGGGGCACTTGAAACGGCTGAAAGACTGTCATGTAGAAAATGAGGCAGGATTGTTCAGTGCTGGATTTAATAATTTTATCTTTTTGCCACATTAAAATTTATAACTTGATAACAAGTTTTAGAGGTCTCTTAGTACTGCACCCAAGCATTTTAAGGGCTGCAAGCAGCTTGAGACTATAGAACACTATTTCTGAACCTTGGCAACTTTAAGATGTGTGGACTACAACTCCCAGAATTCCCCAGCCAAGGTGGCTGGGGAATTCTGGGAGTTGTAGTCCACACATCTTAAAGTTGCCAAGGTTCAGAAACACTGCTGTAGGATATAGACCTCTAGTTTCTTTCTATGCACTGCACTGAGGCAGGACACTGACCAACTACAATATATCCAGAGAAGAGGAATCAACATGATAAAGGGTCTGGAAGGAAAAACTTAGAAAGAATGGTTGGAGGTGCTGGGTCTATTTATCCTAAAGAAGAGAAGTTTGTGGAGTGATGCAGTAGTGCCCTTCAAGTATATGAAGGGCTGTCATGGAGACAGTGGAACAGAATTTTACTAGAAGACAGGCCAAGAAGCAGTGAGGTTAAATTACAAGAAAGCAGATTTTGGATGGAGAACAGGAACGTTTTCCAAACAGTAGGAGCCTTTCAACAATGGAACAGGCTGCCTTAGACAGTGGGCATGAGACTGGATTAGATTATGATTGAGGTCCTTTCCATCCCTTATATTTTTTAATTCTGGGGTGATAACGTAAAATAGGTCAGCCTCTGTTGCACAAATCAGGGAGGCTAGGATTTTTTAAAAAAATTTTTTAAAGTATGATTTAATCTTTATAATCTTCATTAAATATGCAAGTTGGGAAGTGTGCTATAAATTTAATGCATCCATATACTGTAGCTTTCTCCTTAGTTGATTAGCCAACATATTGAGATGATTCTCCTATAAAGTGGAAGGTATCATCATCATGCCATATTGTAAGAATATCTCTCTTTCCATTAGCGGTAATCAATTATGGCAGTTGTGACATCACAACATAGCATAAACCAGGAAGTTAGGCAATCTTTCTAGGTTGGCAGCCACATTTAGGATTTTGAGAGTCAGGAGTAGGTGGCCTCACAAAATTGATCGTCTGCAACAGTGGCAGGTCCCAAAGTACCCATGAGAAAGAAGGCAAATTGAAGTGATTACTCTATATCATCCTTCAGGATGCTTCATACCAAAACATCTTGTCATATTTTTTAGATAGCTGGACAGGACAGAGAAACATTCTCAGAATTAAGGTGATGTTAGAAGCAGGCCCTTTGCTTTGCAATGAGTCAGTATAGCTATATTTTAGTTAAAAGTAATATTTAATGTCTCAGCTGGCGCAGGGAGCCTGGTGAGTGTCAAGGGAAATATCAGGGGATTTATCACATTGCCTATCCATGGTACAACCATGGGAGGAAGATAATTCAATCATAGGTATGCCATTTTTGACAGTAGACTGGGGTAATTGAACCACAATAGTTCCATCTATAGTATTTGAACTGTGATGATCCATTTGGACAAAATGTTTCCGCTCTCAACTGATGAAGCTACATCTATGTTTCAACAAACTGCTTGCATGCCAGCTTCTATCAATCCAGAACATTACTGTTTTCATATTGTTATACTTAATTTTCACTTTTTACTTTATAGCTCAATAGTGCTTATTAAGTGTTAATTATTTAACTATTTTTAAGGATAAAAGTCAGAAACAAAGACCAGATGGGAAACTACACATGTGTTTTTCAAACTAAACCAGAAATAAATGCTACATTCCATTTACAAGGTAAGATCCAAGAATTTTGCTTCTACAGGATCATATTAAATTTTTAGGATTAGTTTTGTTCATATTTAGTTATCAATGACATTAAGCATGTCAGCTGTTAGTGGATAGATATGTGGACTTTTCTACTCTTTTAAATTCAGAAGGACATAGGTTTGTATTAGATGTTCAGTATGTGGTTTGTGACAAGGAGTCATGAAACAGTTCATCCAAATGTAACTTGAAATCAAACCCTAAGAAGACAGACATAAACCTTCCACATCCTGAATTTCCTTTAACTAGTGTTCTAAATCTAAATATTAAGAAGAAGAAACTCTCTTTTTAGTTGCTATCCTCAGAAACATTGTGCTTTCTCTGTATCCCCATGCTGTCAATACTGTAAATCTGAAAAGGACAATGTGTGGCCTGCAGATGTTGAACTCCAACTCCTATAACTCTAGCCAGCAGGGTAAAAAGTGAAGGATGATAGCAGGTATCTTCCAGTGAAGTCTGGAGGACCATGTTTGTTGTCCTGCAGTTGGAATTCAGAATTTCAGTGTAGCTTGGAAAATAAGAATTATCACTTGCATACTCGTTGCATAGGCCAAAAAAGAAATGTATCACTAAACAAGGGACAAAGACCTGGATTTAGCTTGCATTTGCTAACTTCTGGCTATAGAAGCAAATATAAAAAGAATTGTTATAATGGAAGTGAACACCTAATACATGTGAGCAGCCTGACATTATCAACTGTATTACATTGGCTCTTGAATTTACTGGCTGATGTATTCCATGCATAAAAAGAGTTTCTGCAATAGTAATTATGTTCAATGTGCGCTTACCACTGGGAACACTCCAGGCAAATGCAAAGCTAGGCTGGTAAGTCATATTAGTACCTAATCAAAGCAAGACAGTTCTTCATCTTAAGGATCTAAATTGTTCCTGATTCAGTAGAGAGAGGTGAGCAACCCATGGCCCCTGATAGCAAACCAAGGGTGCAAATAATGTGTCCGGTGTTCCACACATAACTTTCTATCACACCTTCTGTGTCTTTCCTCAAGGCATTCCAAAGGGAAGGAGGCCAAAAGCTTATACAAGGATTTTAAGAAGCAAAACCAGCAAATTTACACCTTAAAAACCCATTCTTCCCAAAGCACACCATTTAGCAGCAAACCAGAGAACTGGCCCCATATTTTTCTGCTAGGACATATTAATGTTTTATGCTCGCCACCATCCCGATTAAAAAATCCAGAAAAATTGGAAAAAACTGGATCCACCACACAGTCCTCAATGCTGCCAACATACATAAAATGAAAAAAAAAGGTCTAGCAAAAAGTTGCTTGCAATTAACATGAAGCAAACGGCAAGTCAAATTCAAAAATATGATCTTTTTCTCATTAACATAAAGGAGGAATTTTGCTATACATCATCAAAAATACTAATCTCTTTTCAGACATAACTTAAAATATGTCAAGACTGGTTCCCTTAGGTCTCATTTCTTTTTGTTCTTCTTTTTTCTCTTCAAATCTGCATGGAATTTCCAGCAGTTTTTACTGTTGCTGTCCCTTTTTACTGGAACGGAAAGATATCTTCTGATGTAAGATGGTATTTTACAGGGGATGCAACTTGCTGAATTAATGAGATGACTAAATATAGAATGATGATACAGATTAATGGACTGTATCCATTAAACATTAATGATTTGCTGCCTTATATATACACTCACTTGCTACTGATTTTTAAAACTGAGCAAGTACATTCTGAAGAATCACCACTGGGGCTGTAAATACATTCACTTTCAGTGCTATGCCATTGAGTGGTAGTAGGGGGTAAACATAATTCTTCTTGTCTTTTTTGCAAAACAACATTTTGTAGGATTAGAATTTTGACACTGTACAGTTTAAATGTGCATCTAAGCCCTAATCAAGCATCAGTCACCCAAAGGAATTCAGTTTCTTCTTTTAGTCAGGTCAGTTCTTGAAAGTCTGATGCCATTAGAGCCCCAAGGGAATTTCTGATTTGGGTACTTTCCCACAAAGCCCTATTCATTTGCAGAAACACCTGCTCATCTCCAGACCCAATTTCAAGATTCTGATGGGAAAGGCTCTATCACTTTGACAGGACAGTTGCTTTTTCATGACCCCATGGAGATTCAGAAGTAGAAAATTTGATTGAGTATGGAAGGATTAAAGACCAACACTGATCATCAGGGGTTTTTAAAATAGTCTTGTCTATATTCTAACCTATATACTGTTGCTTCAGCAGCAGAACTGCTCCAAAAGTGCTAAATCAAGAACAATATAATGGGATATTGTGTACCTATCATTCTCACATAATTATGCCTACTGACTCCACAGACATTTGTTCCATTGCTTACTCTGAGTCATAAAACAGTGCATGCTAAGAAGGAAAATTTCATTAGGATAAAAAAAAAAAAAGCATGGTCAGGAATATCACACTCTGCAGCTGAACATTAATCACACTGGAAAATGGTGATGATCAGATACATTTTATTTCATGCTATTTGCTCAGTTCTAATCTATCAGTGAGACGCAAGCAATATATTTCGCACTGTTATATTTTGTAGCTGGGTAATGGTGTGAGCAAAATAAATTTGCTCAAACCAGAATGCTCTGAATGGGTCCTTCATAGTTGGCTCTGGCAAACTTTTGGTTTTTTCTTGTTCAGGAATTCTAACAGCTAGTTTGCAGAAACCCTACTTTTTATTTTTGCTTGCTTGTTGTTTCTGAAGGAGAAAAATTGCACAAACCATGTCTCCACAATATTGGCTGCTTATACAGAAAGCCTGGTTCATGTTAAGTTTGATTACCTGCACAGCAGTGAACATATTCAGGTTGCTGTAGTAGAACTCTGTCTCACTGGGAATGAGACACACCTTGCAGGCACAGTCTTTTCTTACGCATAATGGCAAGTTCATATCTTAGTGGGAAATGATATATGAACTTTCAGATAAACCTCATCTTCAATTGTTATGTATCCTTCAGCCAATCATGTTTGCTCAGAAGTTAATTTTGAGTAAATTATTTCCATGGGATTTAATTTCCAGGAATGTTTCGTACCATATCTATCTGTGGGTGTCACAAGGGACATTATTTCCATATAAATTGTTAAGTCTGGAAGACCAAATCTACCTTGAGCCTACTGCCAGTAGCTGGAAGTGTGTGTAAAATAAAGTTATGTACACTGAAAATGTTTCAACCTTTCACCCTTAAAATTGTACTTTATGATCTAGTACAAGGGTGGACAACTTTCGTGTAGCCAGGGCCCGTTTGCTAATTATTTTGGCCTGCTTGGGGTGCTTTTTTTGGTGCAAAAAACCAAACCAAAAACAAAAAAAAATCACCTCAGTGTTTAGTGGGTTTTTAATGTCTCCAAGTAAAATCCTTTCAAAATCTCCAAAATACAACAGGGAGGGGGAAATTCTGATTTTGTTTCCACAGTGTCTAGCCAGAAGCTTATGGGAAGTCCAGAGCTAATGTCCACACAGAATGTTGCAAGGGCAATGGGGCAGTTTCTCTGGTTCTGTTCTAACTTGTACTGAATCAGAGAGATGATTCAGCAGTGTTGGGGGGGGGGGGGATGGGGGGGGGATTTTTTGGCAGGGCATTCCCCCAGAGAAAAGGGAAAGGGGCAGAAAAGGTTTCCTGGTGAAAAAGC